TAGAACTGAACTGAATTATTAGAAACTTATGTAGAAAACGCTACCCATTTATTGACACACCCCGCCCATTGTGGGCGGGCTCGCGTCATTTATGCTGGAAACATCTTAGACATTGTTACACTACACCAATTTGTTTTCTGCTCTGTAGGCTTTCTCTTAAACCGAGTTATGCTTTTTTCATTAAGCATCGCATTCCCAGAAAACGCCCCGCCCACGGAGAGTGGGTCTTGCTAATTCGATTTGGCTTATCAATGCACACCTTTACGCATATTTTTCCATCCCTAGGCCGATTTGATCCATTTTGAAATTTTTGTCGTCAGTACCGCTGATTTCGATGCACGCACACCCGCTGTGGGCGGGGCCCCTACTTGCAAGAGAATGAGTGGTTGCTTGAACTACTAGATACGTTGGCGTGATGTATAGTGAGCCTTTCAAGAATGGTAGCCACAGGATAACAACGAAGATCTCGGACTAGATTCATAAGTATGAAGTTACTACTCACTTGTAGTATCGTGCCAACGTTAAAGCTTGCACAGATTTCCCTAGACCCATTTCATCCTGCAAGCAGAATACGTCCGCCTTTTTGGATACCAAACCTAAAGATGCTATTTTTATAAAGAGATGACAATGAGCATCCAAACAAAATGTTGCGAGTACGTCGAACTCACGCCACGCCTTTTCTCTGGAAAGGAAACATTCTTTCAATCAAAGCTGGATCCATAATCAATGACAGGTCCGATGGCACAGCGTGCTTCGAATGAGGGTCGTCAGTGAGCAGTTTGATCACATTATCAGGAATCGACTCCAACGTGACGTCGACGACCTAAAAAGGAACTATTTCATTTTGATCCGAATTGATGAGCAATTCGGAGTTCTTTCTTCACAAAACTATCGGGCATACTTTCAAAAAAAGTCATTCAGAATTATACAATAAAACCAATGCAAAATAAAAACTTCTGAATAAAGCAATAGTGTGGATATCATGAATGAAGGCATCCTTGTCCTTCTTTGTCCCTTTGCTTTGCACTTGTATCCTCCTTTTAAACTTAAAGGCAAAGGTCGGGCTCAGGCACGCTAGAGAGTAATTCCCGTGCCTGGAGGTTGTATGTGGGTAGCTGCACACATTGCAGCAACTTCCCACCTTGAAAAACCCCGTTAAGGCCCCGGGGCGTTCGGTTTCAATCCAAACCGCCCACCGGAAGTGGTGCGTGGCTGGCATAACGTGTGAAATCAGCTAACGTAAGGTAATGAGAGACTAAGCGCAGAGAGATGAGTATTAGGCGAGAGGTGCACAAGGAGAGAGCAGCCAACAATCATCTATGATAAAAGAAAAAATTTCAGCTCAAGCGCAGCTACTACTTGCAAGCCCTAGCTCTCATTGTCGCTTGATTTTCGTGCATGCGAATGCCACATCTGTGATTTTGTTCTAGAGTTCTATCTTGCAGCCCGAAGGAATTCGTTCGACGACCTCTGCCTGGGTTGTGCCTTTAAATACATGTGCAATCTACTCCTAGCGAATACGTGGCGGCTATTTTCGAAGCTGATATTGTTGATATATGCTTTGACTTCAATTTATCAATGGGAATTCACCATTTTTGAGAAACGCATGTGTTAGGATGGCAAGAAACTTGGCGACACTCTTTCTGAAATTTTATTTCTTTTTGAAAAATCAATAGGTAACATTCATGACTAACAAATGGTAGAGCATTCTCGAGGTTTATTCCACGAGGTGGATATAAGGTGCTGCAGTCAATAGTTAACCAAGAAAATTCAAAAAACCCCGACCACTGGTTAATCCACACTCCGAGTCACTGTCTAGTACAAATGTCTCCATAACTGTGGATTCGTGTCAAAGACCAACACTATCTGCAATCGCTTCAATAGGCATGTCGTGCACCGCTACAGCGTGTTTCAGCTTTATCAGCGCTTTCGATCTTTTGATATTTTCATAAGAGGCCAGCAGCGTCCTACACACTCCATTACAGGAAGGGCTCCTACGGAAGCTCATTTACAAATTCTTCGTTATGGGCACCATTGTGTAGGTAGAGGTCTATGCTGCGCAAATCCAGAAGCTGGTCGAGGCAGCTCGTCAGGAGCCCTCGTACCGCGACAATATTTATTTCTTTCATGACATTGCGAATCACCATGATCCGAAATGAGCCCGGTAAGAAATTCTGGAGTTGCGGCAAGATTTCTTTCCTCTCTTAGCGTAATCCCCTGGTCGAGCTGTAAATGAATGACTGTCACCCCTCCTGGACTTAAATCAGTATCTTG